GTGCACACAGACACAGACACGCACATGCCCACACAGACACAGACACTCGCACGCACACAGACACGCGCACGCACGCACACACAGACACAGACACGCGCACACAGACACAGACACTCGCACGCGCATAGACACAGACACGCGCACACAGACACAGACACGCGCACGCACACAGACAGACACTCGCACTCACACACAGACACAGACACACGCACGCACACACAGACAAATACACTCGCACGCACACACAGAAACAGACACTCGCATGCACACAGACACAGACACGCGCACGCACACACAGACACTCGCACGCACACACAGACACAGACACGCGCATGCACACACAGACACAGACACTCGCACGCACACACAGACAGACACGTGCACACAGACACAGACACTCGCACGCACACACACACACACAGACACAGGCACGCGCATGCAAACACAGACACAGACACTCGCACACAGGCACAGACACACGCATGCACACACAGACACAGACACTCGCGCGCACACAGACACAGACACGCGCATGCACACACAGACACAGACACACGCATGCACACACAGACACAGACACTCGCACGCACACACAGACACAGACACGTGCACACAGGCACAGACACACGCATGCACACACAGACACAGACACTCGCACGCACACACAGACACAGACACGCGCACGCACACACAGACACAGACACGCGCACGCACACACAGACACAGACACGCGCACGCACACACAGACACAGACACGCGCACGCACACACAGACACAGACACTCGCACGCACACACAGACACAGACACACGCACACACAGACACGCGCACGCACACAGACAGACACTCGCACGCACACACAGACACACGCACGCACACACAGACACACACTCGCACGCACACACAGAAACAGACACTCGCACGCACACAGACACAGACACTCGCACGCACACACAGACACAGACACTCGCACGCACACACAGACACACACACACGCACACAGACACACACACACACACAGACACACACACCCACGCACACACACACCCACACCAACCCACGCACACTCACACACACACGCACACACACTCACACACACACGCACTCACACACA